ATAAATGTGAAGGGAACATGTTTCGGATCTATACCGGGTGGCTACGGAAGTATTGCCTACGGAATATCTCAGTTATTGTGTGAAGTAGGTTTGTGAATTTTGGAGCGTCGATATAATGACATAAGAGCTAGAATTTGAGCATATTGACATGCCGAAGTTAACTTCCGGTCTGACCGGAAGTAACATCAACTTTCTTATTTTAAATGGGAACCCTATTTTTTTTTCATTTCGCTTTATTCAGCATTCAATTCCCTTTCTAATGACATATCACAAGTTGGTATCTAACCATCTATTGAAATTCACCGAGTGAGCCGTGGAAGCAAATTGAAAGCCAAAAAATGACTTTCTATTATATCATTAGAAAGGAATGGTTATGCTGAATAATACAGGCAAGAAAAAGTTGTATGTTCCTATTTAAGTTATGGACCTACAGAGTATTGTTTTTTCACCAATTTTTCCAATATTTTTTTTTTGGCGGCTTTTTATAACGCCGACGAACGAAAATAAGATATCACAGTAGTAGCAACTGTTATCAAGTGACGTATGGTTTCCATAGCCAACTTTTCAATGTTTGGCTTTCATTCTGCTTCCACGGCCTACTCGGTGAATTTCAATAATAATTTTTTTCTGATCTAGTTTCTGGTTGGATACCAACTTGTGATATGTCATTAGAAAGGGAATTGAATGCTGAATAAAGCGAAATGAAAAAAAAAATAGGGTTTCCATTTAAAGTAAGAAAGTTGATGTTACTTCCGGTCAGACCGGAAGTTAACTTCGACATGTCAATATGCTCAAATTCTAGCTCTTATGTCATTATATCGACGCTCCAAATTTCACAAACCTACTTCATACAATAACTGAGATATTCCGTAGGCAATACTTCCGTAGCCACCCGGTATAGTATCCATCATCAACAAAACTCCCGACGGAATCCCACCGATTGTTCTTAAGAAATGTGCTCCCAAACTAACACCTGTTCTCTGTAAGTTGTTCAACTATTCCTACAAATTGGGGATATTCCCGTCCAACTGGAAAATTGCAAGAGTACAACCAGTCCCTGGAAAAAGGAAGGAGACCCTAACTAGCAACTACAGACCGACCGCACTGCTATCTATGATTACACAGATCATGGAGAAAGCTATCAACACCGAGCTTATGAAATACCTGGAACATTCAGGTATTATAAACGATAGGCAATATGGCTTCCGTCATCAGAGATCAACTGGTAACCTTCTCGCTTACGTCCCACATATATGGCAACAATCTATTGAAAAATATGGTGAAACCTTAGCCGTGGCACTTGATATCTCCTAGACATTCGATCGAGTCTGGCACCACGGATTCCTCGCCAAGCTCCCATCTTATGGCTTACCTCCTCAGCTATATTCTCTGCTAGCTAGTTCTCTCTCAAATAGGTCTCTCCATGAAGTGGTCGACGGAGTTTCATCTCACTCTCTTATCATAAATGCTGGTGTTCCGCAAGGATCAATTATAGCACCAACACTATTTCTACTTTATATCAACGATTTGTTGGAAGCAACTTCATGTCCAGTACAAAGCTTAGCGGATGATAGTACTTTCCATACCGCCATCTCTTCCAGGGCTCCAATACCAGCCTGGAAAATCAGGAACGAACGGGGGAGAAATGTTGACAACATAAATATAGACTTGGCAACAATTCTAAAATGAAGATCCTATAACTTGGTAGATTTCAATGCGAATGTCTTCTCTCTAGAAAAGCCGATCTCAGTGTGCCCAACATAAGCCTGTCAGGAGTAACCATACCTTTGAAGACATCCATTTCGATGCTTGGTATTACTATCAGCCATATCCTTTTTTGGGGAAATCACGTGAGATCAATTGTTAAAAGTGCATCCCAAAAACTTGGTTTTTTGTTTCGGGACAGGAGCTATTTCACTTTCAGTCAGCTGCTCATGATCTATAAGGCACAGATCAGACCTGTCCTGGAATACTGTTTCCATATTTGGAGTGCAGCACCCGAATATACCCTGAAACTGTTGGAATCTGTCCAAAAGAGAGCGATTCGTCTCGTGTGTGATGCCTCGCTCACAAACCCACCCACTGGAATACCGTAGACAAGTTGGCGATCTGGCCCCATTCCATAGATATTCTCATGGAAGATGCTCTTCTGAAATATCAACAATTATTCCTCCATTGGCAGTGCCCGCGGGATCAACCCGCCGAGTTGGGGCTTCGCACCCCTTCGTGGTCACTTTTGAGACCTGCAGAACATCTCTTTCCGAAGACTCGTTCATCCAACGAATAGCGAGGCTCTCGAACACATTGCCAAGGGAGGTGTTCCCCGAGGCATAGAACCTCCAGGAATTTAAGAAGAACACCAATTCCTCTACCTCATTTCCCTTGGTTCTCACGATGTTCTCCTAACTTTACCGGATATCCCTCTTCGTGGAAACAATTTGTCATTAGAATATAAAGATAGTAGGAAGGACAATGTCACCATCCACAAGTTTGTCATGATTTTCATGGGACCAATTGTCTTTTGTCTTGCTTCACCGTTGACAGCTGAAGTTACATTTGTCTGTCATAGATGGGTTTAACATTCACATCTGGTCACATGTTATCAGGTTAATCCGCAGTGAAATGAAGATGAAAACGTTTTTTCATTTTTGGATTTCTTTCGACTTCCTTAAGTGGCGATTCCACTGGCTCATCGGGGCACAGAGTACCTGGTTAGAAAACCAGCTTTAACTTGAACGAATTTTTGGTTTCTTAGATTTTCATAAAATAATTTTTTCTCTGTAACTTCATGTGATTCCATAAACATTTTTTCTTCTCCACGAGAGTACTACTATGTTTTACCATTGATACCCTATTATTGTTGCTTCGTTCTTCGAAGAATTTTTTTTTCAATCGACTGATGATGGAAAATCTATAGATCCGGAACAAGTCCTCTTTCCATGTAAGAATTGATGATATTAAACGTTGTGGAAACGACTTGGAGTATTATTACTCAATGAATTCTCAAGCTCTTTATAGTTTTTACTTCTATCGGCATCAGTCCCCATAGAATGTTCCCGCTCTATTTTTATTCAACAATTTTCCATTGAGAATCCTATTCACCATCGAAAGATTGAACAGAATACACCAGGGTATAATCCAGTTGCTTGTTATGTTAGACTTCTGACATTTGGATCGAAGACATGATATCTTCTCGGAGAGCTTATCCTTCATGAAAAAAGCAAGTCCATGTCACTTCTCGTTCTAGCGGAAATAGACCTAGGTCGAGATTTTGTAATAAAACCCTTCTGATATTAAATAAATGTGAAAAGCTCACAGTCAGTGTTCATTAAAAAAGTGAACAACAATGGTAGATTTCGGGAGAAAAACAACTACTTCCCTGGCTAATGCCACGCAGGATATTGGATTACATCCTCCCGAAATGTATGCATCGACTCGTTTAAACGAATACTGATACAAGTGATTCTTTCCTGAATGCCAATTGATTTCGATTAAGCCAGGCCGCTAGACAACCACAGACCGGATTCGAGCTCTTTGACTCTCATCAGTGCAGTGTAGTCTCCAGCCAGCAGTCCTAAGGCCGCCGACTCAGCGAAGCCTAGCCAAACAAAAATCAAGTTGGCATTTTATCCACCCCGAGGCGTCTTTCATCGACAAAATGAAAGTAACGCCATCTGAGTAGAACCGAGGAAAGAATCACTCCAAAACTGAAATTCCCATACGGGAGTGGCTGGCAGCCCGACTGGCGTGATATGAACTACGAAAAAGCCACAATGCTCACAGTGGAATGAAATAGTAAATAAATGTGAAAAGCTCACAGTCATTTCACAGACTGATATTTTCACGTCAAAGCCTACAAGGCTCGCGTCGCCCACGCCAACGTGCTAGGTTTTCTGGCCAGTTCTGATGTGGTGGGGAATATAAGGTTCTCCAGGTCGACTTTGTATGTTTTTCCAGGCGGTCAAGGTGATTCAACTTTCATTTCCAACTTTCTTATTTCAAATGCAATACCCTGTATATCGTTCAATTGCTGAATTCTTTATAATGTTCTTGACGTACCTATTACATGTACAATATTCTATAATAATTCCCTACACGCCCTACAGAAATGTCTACCGTTCACTTAATAATTTCTTCAAAGAAGAAACAGAGTAACATCAAGTCTGTCGCCACAAAAATTATATGACACAAAATGAATTGTGATTAGTTTCTGCTCAAACAAACATCTTCAGACACATCAGTACTCAGTACCTGTGAAGATACTCAATTTACAGATGAACAATAAGTTGTTGAGGAATAAACATATAAGGCCATGTGGGAATCACATTACAAAATAAAAATAAAATTGAAGGGCCGTGTTCATTTGGTTGAAAATCAGTCCAGTAAAGGAATACTTGAATTTTGGAACCGACTTAACAGCCTAAAGAAGCCAACTTTCATCAGGTTCAACATTGACACGAACTTGTGAAAATGGTATTCACTTAATTCACTCATAGGAGTTTCATCTTCGAATGGCCATTTTTGTGAGCATATATGGATATGTAGGAAATTGAAGGTTTGACTTGATCTGGTTCTTGGTGATGGATATACTGCTTCTTTCAAAAAATGGTTCAGCTTTAGAGAAAAACACGTGACAAACAGTCAGTTTGAACATATTGAAACGGACCGAATGCACGTTATTATGTAATGAAACTAATTGAATATGTGATGAAAATTGGAATAATCTTATAGTAGAAAGAAAAAGTCGAATTTGTATCAAGTGTGACATATCCTTCTTTAGAATATTTGTGTTCTTTCAAACAACCATCCTTCAAATGTAGAGCAAGAGATCATGATCCATTCACACCCTGTAGACTTACAGCTTACCTATAAAACTCCAATTTGAAGCCAAGAACAAGAATAATAATATAATACTCCAACCTACACAAAACTTCACCATTATGAAAAGACCAACAGATACACGATGATGGTAAAGAGTTATTAATGTTTTCAAATTTCAGGAGATGCTGCCCTGTTTGGAATAAATGGCTTCAATATGCTCCTGGACGGAGGGTTTTCACGAAAAGCCTGCTTTTGGGATTTCGTGAGACATTTAGATAGATTAGATGCTGTGCTGTTGACAAGACTGAATAATAGTAATGTAGGTGGAATTAGTTCAATACTGAGGAGGAAGAAGCAAGACGTGGTCTACCCACAAATAGGACATTTCTTTTGTAATATTCAGGTAATTCACTAATTATCCGCTATGCAGTAGACTTTGTCCGATTTTTGGTGAAATTTCGACCAAAGCGAAAATTATTGTTTCGGAATATCTGCCTGAATTAAAGTTTCTGATGAGAAAGAAATGCTGATGGCTTGATCATCATACAGAGGAAGAAATGAGATATGTGATCTTTCCTCAATAGGTACAATGGTTTATGATTCACGTCAATATCTGCTTCTTGAGTGGAGATATCATCATGAACAATTTTCGAAAACTAATATTGATTTATTCTCACCCCATTAACTCAGCACTAACCACCACCACCAAAGATTAAAACTCCTCGGCTAGGATGTAGTCCATATACAGGATTATTCGAAATTCGATGTGAATATTTTGAGGACATATTGTTGGGATCAAATCAACCACCCTTCAAGATACAGCAACTGTAAATTAGGTAAAAAAAAGATATTCCTGAAATTGTGACTGAAATAATGGATCATATCATCTGAGAATGAGCATACCCCAGTCTTTTTTGACACTTACCTATTCATCTCCTTCTTGTTTCAAAAATCATGTGAATCCAGTTTTGGGGGGGGATCGATTTTTATTAACTCGTAGGAAGTGCATTTAAGGACACAACATGTTCATGATAATAATATGAAGAAAAAGACTCATCCCTTCGAATATTCACATCGAATTTTGAATCACCCTGTATAACGAGTTCACAGGGTAACTATGTAACGACAAGCCCACACTATATTATTATCGGAAATTGGAAATTTCAGAAAATATTCATGCTTATATCCGAAATAACGCTTTCACTAGAAAGTAGCAACAACTTTGTTACTTCAAGTGGAATACCCAGTATTTCATTGCATTTTCAGAATCTTCTTGAAGGGCTCATCTCATCAATACACCAAACTCGAGGTCTAGCGGGCATGATTACAGAGATATAGGGTGTTCAAAATCGAGATTTTTCCACTTCAGGATATCTTCTGTCGAAAATATCCATTATCGGTCAAAACGACTTCCATGTTCCATCTCAACTTTCAACTTACTATCTACTGATATTTGATTGAAACATTTATACAGGTGATAAGAATTTGAATCTTGAACCACCCTGTACTTGTTTCGATTGAATGTCAATAGCTAGTAAATCGAAAGTTGAAATAGGTAAATGAACCAAAATATGGAATAATCTTGATTTTGAACACCCTATATCTCTGTTATTATTGCCGCTAGACCTCAAGTGTGATGTGTCGTGTATAATTTGAAATTGCAATATTCCTTCAAATTAACAAAGTTGATCCTACTTCCTAGTAGAAGCGGCAACACTGCATTGTCAAACTGAAAGAGAGTGATTTATATAGACATGCACATTTTCATATATTATGCTTTCCTGGAGTATTCACCGCTGTGGTAACGAGTTGATCAAATATCCCAATTAGTCTTGAGGAATTGCCCCAAATTGTTCTTGAATGAGAGCAAGGCAAGGCAAGACGAAAACGAATCGTCGTTGGAGTTTATCCTAAACATGCTCAATAGGTGCTGAATAATTATTGTTGATAACAATTCAAAATTTCTATGCTCCCCTCAACACTTATTCTATTTTTTCTTGAGAAGATGTTATCGACGTGAATCAGAAACCAGTGTGTTGAAAAACAATCACATATGAATCTAAAATCTAAACCATAACAATGCTGAGTTCAACAAGTATTTTATGTCACAGGGCGTAAAGAAGTCCATGGTGAATGAGTAACTTGAGTTTTTCCCTGTATAATGATCAACTCATCAGCTTTGGACACTAACATTCTGGCTAACATTTGAAAACGTCAATTTACGATCTGGTTGAAAATCTACTAGAATCGGACTATAGTTGAAGATGTTACAGGGCGATCAATTCGATCAATTCGGCATAATTTTTCTCTGGTCGTTTTTTTCTTTTTCGATGAGTGTATTTGAGCAATCAAGAATTGGATCTACCAAAAAAAATTGCCACTTTCAGCGAAAAGCTCATTTTTATTGTTATTGGTTCTGGAAACAGATTTTTAGAAGTACATTCACAATGATCTTCATTCCCATGATGTTTGTACTTGTAAATACTTTGTATTATATCAGGGTACTTTTTCCTCGAACTCATCCAAGCGAACAAGGTTTTCTATATCATAACGTCTTGGCAGACTGTTGGTTTGCTTCTGAAACTTGACACACATGTCAAAGAGTCAAGGACTAGATGAGGTCATCTTCATTTTTCGTGGAAATAATGACACAACAATCATTGGATAACTCATTGATTCAAGATTTTTCATTGATATTCCACAGCACATTCTTCATCCTTCACAAAGAATTGATTCATTCAAATTTCAAAACGAAAAAGTTATTCAAACTATTTCATACTCCAAGCTCTTGGCTCTCACCAGGAAATCTATCGAATTAATTCTGTCATTGCAAGAGGTTTTTGGGCACCTTCCCCGTGTTTCTTTCATAGCAATATCCAAATTTTTACTGAAATTTCACGATCTACTTTATTTTCCTAGGAAAGAAGAACTCTACCAAGCCCGGATGGTGACAAAGACAAGGATCCCCTACTCATCAACCTACTGGAAGAAGGTCATGAAATCATATCGAACCTCCGCTACTTGAACCTGAATCCTCAAGTCTGCTATAGAGACACCGACCCGATTAACCTATACCACAAAGTGGGCCACGGAACCTTAGATATGTACGTCCTCAGCCCTAGCAAAGACGCCAAAGAAGTCAGAGAGTTCCTGCAGAAATGGAACCAGAGCGACCAGAAGCTCTTTGCTAAATCCAGCAAAGAATTGAGCTTTCCTACCCAAAATCTGGTTTCCATTGCCGCTTTGCTGATCTGGCAACCTGCCAATCCTGATGATACCATCACCAGGATCTTGTTTCCGGGAAGTAGCCCCCAGAGCAAAGTTTTCGAAGGACTGGATAAGCTGCGGAGCTTGGATTGTATCAAACACGCTACTTGTAGCAGCAGATCTCTGCAACCTGTTTCACTACACAAAAAAAACGCTAAAGACGTCATAATCGAAAAGGTGGCTCCTAAAGAAAAGATGCAGGTGAAAGAGATCAAGACCATCGAGAATAATATCATTAATGGTAACCATGGGGAAGTTAAGAATAAGACCGTTAAGAAATCGGATTCGACGGAGAGTGATCGTAGCATCAAGGCTAAAAAGGAGGAGAATAAAATCATCGAGAATGGTGATAAGCTGAAGCCGAAGATCAAGCCAAAGGTGAGATTGAGCTTTCGGTTTCTTCAGTAGTGTCGTCACCTTTGTGATTTTCATCCTGTTTTTCAGAACATTCTTGAATTTCTCTCATGATTCTGATTATAATTCATGTATCATGTATCCTTACCGAAAATGAACCGTTTTCGAGTATTCATCAGAAACTTATTCATTGTCTGTTATACTCCCATGGACAGAGGGTCCCTTGTTTGGTACACCGATGGTTCCAAAATGGAAGAAGGGGTAGGCGCGGGTGTATATGGACCCGGATGTAGGCTAATTGAAGCCTTAGGTCATTCCCCCACTATCTTCCAAGCTGAAATACATGCCATCAACCTTTGCGCCCAAAGGTGCCTGAGCAAAGGTCTGAGGGGTGCCAACATGTATATCTGCTCAGACAGCCAAGTTGCACTAAAAGCCCTGAAATCATTCGTTTTCACATTAAAAATTACATGGGACTGCTTTGAAACACTCATGCAACTGGGAAAGGGCAACAAAGTCACACTTATGTGGGTTCCAGAGCATGAAGGAACCAAAGGAAATGAGGCAGCTGATCGCCTTGCAAAAAAAGGTGCAGCATCTGCACTTTTTGATCCTGAGCCTTTTTGTGGGATGAGCAAATATCACCTAAAGGGAGAAATTGAAAAGTCCTCCTACTGGAGAGCAACTCCAGGTCAACGACAAGCGAAAAGGTTCATCAACCATTCGCAGAACCGAGCCAAAGAGCTACTATCAGCCTCAGCAAACCAGAGCTAAAGCTTATCACACGCTTTCTCACAGGACACGGCCCTCTGAGGTACCACCTCAAAAAGATGGGTTTGGCGGAGACTGACACTTGCCGCTTTTGTAACAATGCGGCCAAAACCGCGAAACACATACTTTGCTCATGTGAAGTATTAGTACGCCAAAGGCTGAACCACCTAGAACAGGTCTATCTCACCGCTGCTGGAGTAGAAAAGTCAACCGTCAGGAAAATCGTAGGCTTCATCAGAAGTCTAGGGTTAGAAGACCAAAACTAGATAGGGGTAATCACAATAGATCTTCTTGGTCGCAGTGATCGAGAGGTCTCCCAGCCTATACGACCCATCTTCAATCTACAATCTATACTCCCAAGTCTCGTCTCGTCTCGCCGATGGAATATGGAGTCTTGTCTCGAGTCTCGTCTCGCAGCCCCGAGTCTCGTCTTGTCTCGCGTCTCGTACGAGAGTCTCGCAAATGTATCGCAATTACGTCATGCATAATCTTGTTCCAGTCTAGTACGGGATATTCACATTTACCTACTTTTTAGGTATAATGTAGAGGTAGCAAGAGAAGATGACAACAAAAGTAACATTATTTATTGAAAAGTAAGTACCTAGTGGTGCTCAAATTAAAAGTAACGACTCTTGGTCGAATTGAAATATTTTTGTCTATGCACATGTACTATTCATTGCCTAGGAACGAACCGTTTCCCTCATTAGCATTTTATGACCTGGTTCGCGCTGTAAAGGTATTAGAGGGTATACCCAGCAGTATACCTAGAGGTGTTATAATAATAATTATTCGAACGTGAAAAATAACAATGACAGAGTTCTTCTTTGGCAACTACAATGAAATAAATAGGAATTTATCTGGACTGCTTCACTTTGATTCAGTTTTGTTGAGAACGATATAATATAATTAATTATAACTAGAATCCAATCTTGGAATGAAGGGATTTAATTTCAAACTATACAGGGTGTAATTCAATTTATGGCTAAAAATATAGGACATGGTTCCTCAGCTCATTTTGAGAAGAAAAGTTGATATGAACATATGCCCTAAACCTCTCAACTTCCGAGCTATAGGGTGTTGGAATTTTTATGAAAATAAGCATTTTCTTATGATAACTTCGACATACTATTCTAGATATTCTCATGAAATTTGACATGCACCAACTGAAACAATGTGGTGTAGTTTGTAGGTAAGATGTGTTTTTGTCTAATTTTTATTGAAGTGAAGTCGTTGATTGAATTTGCCAAAATGGTTTCATCATTTTCAAATATGTAACTCAAATTATTGCAAAAGGAATGAGAATTGCATTTATTTTTTAGAAAAATCTCCAGTATTTACATCCCATACGGACACGAACTGGCCATCAGTGCTTAGTAGGTGCATGTCAAATTTTATGGGAATATCTAGAACAGTATCAAAGTTACTATAGGAATTTTTTTTTCTTAAAATTTCAACACCCTATTGCTTTAAAGTTAAGAGGTTCAGGGCATATATTATGTTCATATGAACTTTCCTCGAAATGTCTACATCCTATATTTCTAACCATCAATTGAATTACACTTTGTATAACCAGGAGAAAAAGATCTATGAAATTGTAATGAAACAATAAAGATATAGTACTGAATTTTATGATTTCACGTTCATTCAGGTAACCCATTCATTTTCAATATTATGCTGAGTTGAATAAAACTCTGAAAATTTTTGGGTAAATCCTCGGGTAAATCCGAGGATGAATCTGGCATAGCGCACTTACGAATAAGGAAAGAAAATAGAATTCCCTTATTTCCAATAGAACACCACTTTTTTTTTCATTATTCATTCTACATATTACTCTGATATAAACCATAAAATATATAAGGTAATTCATTACTATTTTCAACTGTTTCAGATTAATAACGATTTTTGAGAATATTTTTGAAGATGATTTTCTTTCAAACTGAAACACTGAAACTCTTGATTTCTTACAAAGGAGAACTGGTTCACATAAAATGCTCTTTCGAGTGGAAATATGAATTTCATAAACAAGGATATCTACAGTGTGATTATTATCAGCATGCAGATCATAGATTTCAAAACCAAAATAACATTTTATACTGTTGAATATATAAGCACAAAGAAATATCGATAAGTGGAAAACTTCTATAGTTATTTTACTCGGCTATAATTATAAGGTATTATTTTTTGATCATGAAGGATTTAATTTTATTTATTTATATTGAAAAAAAAGTCAAAAATACACATCAAACATTCTGGTATCTAACAGTGCACTGCATGTTATGTTCTGTGACCACGTGCTATATATACAGTGTGTCCACTTTAAGAACTTTACCACCGCCTGTAAAATCCGTATTATCTTATCTGATCGATTTCGAAAAACTTTTTTTTGTTGTATAGGTATTTGAAATAACCATCAAACAAAAAAAGTGATTTTATTCTTGGACTGTTATCGTGGCCATCAACTGCGACCAATTTTATTGACCCATATTTCGTGAATTACTATTGGGGATTTTATTTTTTCACTAAAACTAATGATAGATTCTGAACCTAGATCACTCAATGTAACCCTGTACCGATTTTCATCGTCATAAAACAAAGAGTGTCCGAAAAATCGGATTAATAGATATATTTTTTGTATACTTGATCAGAAAATGTAGAACTGTGGTATGTTTGGGAAGAACTAATGTCAAATGGATATTTAGGACTACTTCGAACATATCAGCCCCGATTATTATCATTCAAATATACAATGTGTCTGAGAAAACAAAAAGGGTGGGTAGGCAATTTTTTCATCAACCAAAAAATAATAAAAAAAAAAATTCGGACACCCTGTATTTTATGATGATGAAAATTAGTACAGGTATGTCCCGAGTGATCTTGAATGAGAATCCGTCATTATTTTCTAGGTATAGAATCATGCATCATGAAATATTGTCTACTTATTCGGTTCGGTTCAGTATCTCCTATATGTCCTTTGAGATATCAAATTGATGACACAACACTGTTCTGAAGCAAAGTAATATTTTTGTGATTAACGGACATGGGAGACACTGAACTTTATCAAATCGATCAATAACCCCGATTTTCAAATTTATCTGCACGATTTATCGAAGCTCAAGTATTATACTTTAAAAATAAAATTTCTGGAAGTAGGTAGATATTCGCGTTTCAAGATAATTATGTGTATACCGTTTTCATATCGCACATGCTGATGAGAATTATTAGTTCTTATATCAAAAATAGGTATTCAGAGAAAAATAACTCTTAAGAACGATTAAGAAATATGATTTCATGGGAAAAATAATTGGAGGATATACTAACGACAAACTTCAATTAAAAAAAAAATTAATTATACCGATGCCGCTTTATTCAAGAAGTACTTCAACTATATCTATCAATCCATAGAATCAACTAGAATCAAACAATGAATAACCATGAGTCAGCTTCATAAGATGAAGCATAAAATATTACTCTAGCGATGTGAATATTAACCCCAAATCTTAGAAATATTCAGATATCTGACCATCTCGTACCACAACTCACCATAAGAAATAAGTGATTGAAACAGCGGGCGGTTGGAATAGATATTAGTCTGGGTGCATAAACTGAAATTTTAAAGGGATTTTCACAGAAGTCGTTACTTTTAATTTGAGCCCCACTACATACTTACATCATCTATCTAAACGAGAAAAGAAAACATGACATTATATATTCGAAAATTATAAAAATGGAATGAAAAGTAACACGTACATTCTAAACAAATAAACAAAATAAAAACTTTAATCCAATATTATTTTTCTTATTTGAGAAATAGGTATCTAAGAAAATAGTTATTTGTTTTACTATTAGGCAGAAAAGTAGTCAATCTACATTTGCTGCCGTGTGAAACAGAATTTTTTCTCCAAATGATATAAAACTAATTTTTTGTAATTTTTTTGTTGAAAACTCCATTATTTTGTGTTCACCCAATGTCAATTTTGACTACTAATTTCATTAGAATTTCTTGGAACGTTGCATAGCAACAAACTTTTCTGCCTAGCCAGTAAAAGTACACATTTTCAGCCTGTTAAGCGACAGGAAAAAGCCAGTATCCCTGCTTAGAGAAAAAAACCATCGAAAAAACCTTCATCAGTCAGATCAGCCTTCACGATCTCAAATGTTTTTGTTTTTCACCCAGTCGTTAAAACATAACAAACATCGTGCAGATTCATTATTAAGGCGATTCCGATGTTGTCTTATAGAATTCTTTCTAAATATGTTTTATTATGAATGAAATTCTCAAGTCTGCAGTCGGCACGCAGAAATATTTACCTGCGAGACTCTCGCACGAGACACGAGAAGTCTTGCACGAGACTCGAGACGAGACAAATAAAAGTCTTGTCTCGTCTTGTCCGAGTCTCGTCTCGAGTCTTGTCTCGAAAACGAGACGAGACCATGCGAGACTCTCGAAAACGAGACTCTCGCGGGCACCACTAGTCAACATGGTCTGATAAACAACACTAGCCTCTGATGACATTATATATAATATTGATTATGCATTGTTGAGTCTGCTTGGTGGGTCCCTCCTGTGTCATGTTCATTCAATCGCCTATTCAGCAGCGCCATCCTTCAGTACGCATCTCCATCAGAATGCAATCAGTTACTCGTATTTGTATCAAAAATTATGTAGTTTGTGTCGGCGAGATGTGAGCAAACAAAAAATAGTTTGATAGCAATGGAAAGGATGTTAGCGAATTTGGCTCCACTTTGTTGAATAATGTATATTGATGCATTCTTTGTCACCCAACAAAAATCTAAATAGCAAATTATTGAAAAATTTCTTGAATGACCAAGCTCACCAAATTGGTACGTCACACCGACGTGATTTTTAGACGTCGTGGATACGTCACTGCAACGTCATAAGAGTAACGGTTTCAATTTAGGTAGGTTGGTAGGTAGGTAGGTAAGAAATTGTATTTATCGTATACCTTGTGTTTGTGGAAAGTATTATACAGGTGAAACGAAAAGACCTCTCTCAGGAAGGACTAAAGAACACAAGTATAATATCAAGAAAAGACATATCGATAAATCGAAGCTAACGGAACATATCCTCACTGAAGATGGACAACATTTGGCAGAGTGGAATAATATCAAAATCATAGGAAAGGAAGATAACAAACAGGAATCCGCTTGCATTCTTCTAAACGGAGACAATAGCATTGCTTCCTGTTCAGTTGATATAGATAGAACATGGTATTCACTTCTGAAAGCTGAATATGAAAATAGTAGATTCAAGATCAATTAATGAAAACATCCTGTAACTCATTTGTAGACTAAAGTCACTCATTCATATGGCAACATCAGTATGACACTGAAAAGTGTCAAACTATTAGCAGCACAACTTTCAAAGGGACATATTTTGCATTTACATGTTGAGAACGGGAGCAGAATCGGTCCCGAAACGTCCAAAGATAAGTAAAAATTCGATATTTTTTCAATATATCTACAGGCTGATTCACGGTGGATGGCACATTAGACGTTTCTGGTGAACCAGACAACGGATCATTTTGAAAATCCAATGGAGGGCATATTCGGACATCCTCTAGCCAACTAGAATATTTTCGACAATGCGGTGTTGCCGCTTCTATTAGAAAGCAGTAGCAACTTCGATTTTTCAAATGGAACACTCTGTATTTTACTGCATTTTTAGATTCTCCCTGGAGAGCTGATTTCATCGATGTATCACACTTGGGGTCTAGCGGAAATGATTACAGAGATATAGGGTGTGAAAAATCGACATTTTTCAACTTTAGAATTTTTTTGTGTCGAAACTATCCATCATTGGTCAAAACGGCTTACATGTCCCTATCTCAACTTTTGATTAACTATCTACTGATATTTAATTGGGACATATACCGGGTGATCAAGATTCTGAATTCTGCACCACCCTGTATTTGTTTCAATTAAATTTTAGTAGATAGTTGATCAAAAGTTAAGATAGGGACATGTGAGCCGTTTTGACCAATAATGAATAGTTTCGACAAAAAAAAATTCCTAAAGTTGAAAAATGTCGGTTTTTCACACCCTATATCTCTGTAATCATTTCCGCTAGACCCCAAGTATGATACATCGATGAAATTTGCTCTTCAGGGAGAATCTAATAATGCAATAAAATACAGAGTGTTCCATTTGAAAAATCAAAGTTGCTACTGCTTTCTAATAGAAGCGGCAACACCGCATTGTCGAAAATATTTTAGTTGGCTAGAGAATGTCCGAATATGCCCTCCATTGAATTTTCAAAATGATCCGTTGTCTGGTTCAGCAGAAACGTCTAATGTGCCATCCACCGTGAATCAGCCTGTATATATCTTTCCTTCAAACATTTTTTCGAACGAATTGTCACTGACAAGCTACTGGATTTTTCTTTTAGATTCCCTGATAGAAGAATTTGTTGAACGCAGTGACATTTCGAGGCAAATCATCTGATTTGTCCCTCTACAGATATATTGAAATGATACGAATACGAGGAGAGAAAATCCCGAAGAATCTAGTGAAATGGAAATCTATATTTTTGTTAAAAAAAAATTTGTTGTAAGATGATGAGGTTCAAAACTTTTGTTAATCATCGACCAATCGTTGATTGCCGGACTCAAGCATATGCTTTCGGTGAGACGTAGAGTAGGTACCAGAAGTATCAATAATGATTCCTCGAATGTTCAATAATGATTTGAAAAATGTGATATGTTGGGAGCGGCCAATATTTCAAAAAATGTACCGGAACGAAAATTTTTTCTACGGCTTAAACACGGAGTTGCTCGTGTCTTACCGTTTTCTCTAAGTTGATGAGGTACATTGTATGTCTTCAATCTCACTTTCATATCTGATACCACAACGAATTCATTGTGTTCTTGTTACACAATAACTGTCATCTCCCATGAAATACTAAATTTCAAGCAATGTCCGCTCAACAGCTCTGTCTAATGAAGCAATACTCAAGAAAAAATCAGATGTCTACAAGCCGACGGAATTATTTGTAAGAGCTAAGAAGTATAGTGTATAACTCACACGAAATGCGCATTTCACACTCGCATGATTTTCATTTTCGTGAGAAATCACGTGCATGTTGAACAATATACTATCTCTTGTGATTTCTGGAAACATCCTGTATATTACCCCATTTCATCTTGTTTCCAAAAAGCAATCGAAGATAATCAACCAACTGCAATTCAATTTGTATCTAACTATTTCCATCATCATATCGATCTTTTTCAAGGTGAGAGGTGAATCTCAACAAAGAAAGAAACCCCCAGAGAAAAAAGCCTCTCCAACAACACCAAAGAAAACAGATACCGTAGAAGCAAAGAAACCTGCCAAACCGTCCCCTCTAAGTACTCCAGCAAAAAGTATGAAAGATGCCAACAACAGAAAAGTCGTAGAAAGCAAAGTCAAGCGCGAAGCTAGTACTAAACCTGCCCCTCCAAAACCTAAAGTAGAAAAGAAACCGATAGCAAGAAAACCTACTGCCAAAAAAGCCCCAATAAGTCCAGCCAAAAAGATAGTGAATGGTATCCAAAAACCTGATAGTATCTCTAGAAAAGGTAAGCTGGACAAGGAAGGTACTACAGACTCGAGTACTGTGAGCACTCCATCAGTAGATCAGGAAAGTGTCCTGAAAAAAGACATATCCAAACTTTCACAGGAAGATATTCAAAAACTGAAAGCACAGGAACTAGCAGATCTGAAAGAGGAACAAGAAGCTGTGAAAGAAATAGAAGCTGTATTCAGAAAAGGTGAAACCAAACCTAAACAAGCTCACGATCTACGAGAAGTTCAAGATACTTCCATTGAAAAGGAAGAATACATCATCATAGAAAAAGAAGTGATCGAACAAGATTCCCTCGGACAAGAAACCAAAGAAGATGAAACTCAAAAGTTAGCCAGAGATAGTGAGGAATCAGAAAAACAAAGAAAACTCAGTTCCGAACAAATTCAAGCTAACGGTATAACAGACCATCCCGAAGCTACACTCAAAACCAAAGATATACTTAGCCCTGAAGATAAACAGGACATTTCCTCTGATAAAAAAACCACTGATAAAGATATCGAAGAAGAAAACAAGGACGTGGTAGAGTCTCATCCGGACGAGAAAATCTCAGCCAACATAAAATCAGGCGACACCACTACAGCTCCAACTCTTCCAGAAGACGAACGCATACCCCTGGATGAAATCAACCCCTTGGATGAAATCAAAGAAGACAATGGACAAATGATCGAGGAAAAACATGTCAAGGAAGAAACCAAAGAAAAGGGACTGCCCGTGATACAACTACCCCAGAAAACATTCGAGAGTGTACCGAAAATCCCAATCGTAGTAGGCATCAGATTAGACAAGCAGCAGCACATCAGAGACATTGTGAAAACTCCGGATGAAGTAGCAGATCTTCCTGTTCATGAGGAAGTCGACTATGAGTACACTCACGAACTCAAAATTGAGCCTACCAAGTCCAATGAAGTTGTGGAAACGAAGCTAGAACAACATCAACACAACAAGGAGCAACAAAAGGAAGAAGAGCAGGAAAAAGACAAAGATGAAGCTAAAGAACCTTCTGTCGTCCAAAAAGAACTCAAGAGTCTGACCGATACTGTCCTCGAAAATGAAACTGTACTTGAAAAGGATATTTTGAAAGAGTCAGAGAAGGTGTCACCCGAAGTCAAAGATGAGGACCATAAAAAAGTTGTAGATGAAGACGGTACTGAAAAACCTATGAGCGAACCAAAGTCTGAAGTCTCAGTAGAAGAAGAGGAAAAATCGGAACCCGAGATGATCGAAGAAATCATGAAGCATGAAAAAGTTCAACAGGAGGCAGTAGAAGAAGATAAGCGGAATATTGCTGAAGAGAACTTGTCCAAGGAGGTTGAATCGAAATCTGATGTGAAAGACAAAGACCCTGAAACACATATTACAGATGTGACCAAACATGCAATGCCTGTAGAAGATATCGCTGGAAGAATTGAAGTTGAACTTGAGAAGGATACACAAAAAACTGCGCTTGAAGGTGTTGTAGTAGATCGTGAATCACATGAGAAACATGAAGAAGTTGGTAAAGTAGGAGAAGAGAAAATACAAACGGAGCCTTCAAAACAATTGAAGGAGTCTAGTCATGAAGATGTCGAAGGTGATAGTGTTGAAGATAAGAAGGTTATCACTGAAAATAAGGAGGGCCATATTAAGAGTGTAAATGAAAAGAAGATTACGGAAAAACCAGAATCAAGTATTGAGAAACAACCAGTGACACATGAACTTGATGGTGTGGATAAGATAAATGAAAATATTTATACGGAAGAGAAATCGACGAGAATGATTGGGGAGTTGCAAAAGGAGGTGGAAGCTGATGTACATGATTTGAGAATAACCAAAGAATCAGTAGATATAGAGAAGGATGTGAAAATAATACAGGATAACGAAGAAGGCGATAAGAAAAGAGAATCTTTCAAAGAAGATAGTGATGAAATGGCTTCTACTGATACAACATCCACGAAAGAACCGAAAAGAGATGTGGATATAATTAGTAAGGACTCATTGAAATCAACTGAGAACACAAAGGTGGAAGTTTCACAAGAACTCAATCAACTGGAAGATTTGACAGATCAAGAAGTCGCTGCTGCTGATCTGAAACGTGACGTACGATCAGGTTCAATCGATAAGGCCGACTTGGGTCGGAAATCTCCCAAAGAACGAGAAGAAGATGTCATCAAGATAGTAGCTAGTGTAGCTGAAGTGCTGAAGTCTGATGCTCCTCTGGAAGAATTCGAAGGCAAACTGCCTATCAGCACCTTCACCCCGTATACGAGTCCCTATACAACCGAACTACGTGAAACACATATAACCACTGTAGATTCTCCTTTGATAGAGACTAAGGTAATCAAAACGGATATCCCTACAATTCCAGAAGAACCACACATAGCATCAGCATCATTCCTTGAGGAAGAAAGAAGAGCAATTTCAATACAAGAATCTGAAGAAGCTAGGGAAGCTAAAAGAATCGATTTATTGAAGCAGTCACAGGAATTCATGATGGCTACATCCAAGATGCTTTCAGATATCAAATCAACAACAGACAAACAAACTCCAGCAGAAGAAGCCAAATACAGAGAATCTGGAGTGTTATCGGATAATGGGGAAAATGTAGAAGATAAAATCGACGAAGATGACGTTGCCACAGTACATCGAATGTTAGTTACGGCCTCTAGTGAAGATGGGGGAGAAGAAATCGAAATCTGTCCAGCAGGGTCCATTGTATTCTCCAAGAGCTCTGAGAGTTCTGGAAGAAGTTCACCTGATCCGTCCCAAAAAAACAAGAAGTCCTCCATAATCGACACGGTATCAGATTCTTTGAGTTCCGTAAGACAGATTCTGGATGATCAATCACAAAAAGAAGCAGGTAAGTTCTTTCGTTTGACAATTCGGAAATAATAGTTCATTTGTGATATCCTCTCCAGGAATTATTGATCATGCGAAGCAAGCATTGGAAGCGAAAACTACATCTGTCCAAGGAAAAAGTACTACTCTTGAGGATATTGGAGAATCTCAATCATTTATAGAGCAAGAAGTCAAATCTGGGGCGTCAGACATATCCAGAGATGGTAAAGAAGAAATAAAAGATCATTTTCACCAGGAAACTAAAACTACTGGGTCCCCAGAAAATGGGGAATGGATAGGGCATGACAATGTTGTCATGAAACAACAGGAACAACATGTATCAAGTAAGTCTTCCATCAATTAAAAGAATTTGGTATATCCTCAAGATTGCAACAACTATTGAAATCATTTCTAACTAACAGAAAGTTATTTGTGGAATATGAAGTTAACATCTGGGGGTTCCACAAGGTTCAAACTTGGAACCACTGTTGTTTCTTTTATTTGTCAATGACATATGAACTCGAAAACTTTACTATATGCCGATGATTTGAAGTTATACTGTAAGATAAATGATTTTAGAGATTGTCAACAATTACAGAAAGATTTACTGACTCTAAATGATTGGTGTATAGAAAACAATTTACTCCTCAATCACACCAAGTGCAAGATAATGACATTTTCCTGTGAGAATGTTCCTCTTGTTTTCAATTATTGTATATCAAATCAGCAATTATTATCAAGGGTTCCTGAATGCAGAGATCTAGGCGTTATTTTCGATGAAAAGCACAACTCTGTGAATCACATTAACACCGTTATCATCCAGGCCTATCGTAATTTTGGATTTGGTTCTTATTAGAAACTGTAAGGAATTTCATTCTTTCAATGCTTCACGTAATATTTACTACTCAATGGTTAGAAACGAGCTGGAATATTGTAGCGTCATATGGAACCCCAACAATACAAAATATGTAGATGCATTGAAAGCTGTCCAGAAGAAATTTATAAATTATGCTTTTTTTAAAAAATATGGTATCTACCCAGACAGATGCTATGATTATAATTTATTATTAGAAGAATTTGATATGTTCTCGCTGAAAAAAAACAGAGAGATCGTAAATATTGTTTTTCTAAACAAGATCATCAACAATGGCATAGATTCTCCGAATCTTTTGTCAGCAGTAGACTTCAATGTCCCAAGAATTACGTCTAGAACAAAAACTACCGTTCACTTGGTAGTATCATATTCGCGACACCATTATTACTGTATTCTGTCGAATATGTGTAGAATTTACAACAATTTGTCATCTCTCAATGTTGACATATTTTTTCTGTCATTACGAGCATTCAAAAAAGAAATTTCCAGTGTCATTCCAAATTAATCTATGTCTTTATATAATCATGATCATTAGCATTCAGCTCATTTTTATAAAATACTCCTATTATTAGGCAATTAGCCTGTTGGATGTATAATAATTATTGAATAAATGAATAAATGAATCATGATTTCATACTTTTGATACAATTTCTTGTGTTGTGATCGATTTCAAGTACCTATTCTCCTTCAAGATATCGATGATAGTAAAGCAGAACTAGAGAAAGAAGAAGAACAATCTCCGTTTGGTGTTGAAGAACACGGCCCTCGAGAGAAACGTTCTTTACTCGAAGAGAAGATTATTACACCGCATGATTTTGATTCCACTCAATCATCAACTGAAAAGGACCTTGATATTGTTCAAGATCAGATGGAACATCTAGGACCAACATCAGGTAAATAGTCATCTCATCAATCGTTCCTCACTCCCATCTAAGAGAATTATTTTTTCCTTAGGAATCCATGCCCAAGAAATGAAATCTGAGGGGATAACGTCAGGTAAGACTTTTTTTCACCATTCACTTCAAACCAATAAACTATTTTCTTCAGACCACGATGGACAAGCAGAAATAGTTTCGCACCAAGAAGAGAGTCATCCTCATCAAGAGAAGATTTCTTCTGATCAACAAAAGGCTTCTCCACATCAGACGAAGGTTCCTCACCAAGAACTGAGTTCTTCAGTTGAAAAGAGTTTTCCTCATCAAGACAAGAGTTCCTCTCATCAAGACAAGACTCTTCCCAATCAAGTTCTTGGGGGACACGAATCGAGAAAAGAAGGAGAGCAGATGGAACTAGATGAGAAAAAGGATGATCCGAAAGACGAGATAAAAGACAAAATTATCTCAAAGCACGGTGAAGTTTCTGCTTTTTCCAGTGATAGATCTGATGCAATGGAACATACATCAGAAGAAAGGGATACCGCTGCGACTGTATCAAAGTTGACGGACAAAGAAGAATCCTTTGGATTCGGAACACCTCCAAAAGAACAAGAATTGTTGGAACATGCTAGGCAAGAGTATCAAATAAGGAACAATGTTGAAAACGGATACTTTGATGAAAGTGATTTACTTCTGAATAGAAGAATACCCTTGGAAATTGATAGTTCAAAGTCACATGAGAATGATTCAAGAATAGAAGACACAAAGGTAGTTGAGAAAGCTGTTTTAGATGGTACCCTAGCGACTGTAGAGGAAACGAAAGCAAATACAAACGATTCGCTACATGGATCCAAAGATGAGATTGATACTGACGCAGATGATAAAGATCTAAAATCATGTATTGGAGCTGTTGAAGAAGAGATTATTAAACAGACCATAACCAAAGTAGCAGAAACATTGGAGTCAGTAGCCGAACCCAAAGTAGATACTGCTATAAGTATATCCGACAAAACTGAAGAAACTAGATCGGAAAAGACTATTGAAGAATCACTACAATCAACGACAGATAAAAACTTAGACAACGAAACGATAGATAAGAAATTAGATACTGATAATATTCAAAAGTCAGAGCTTGAGATTGCAATGAAAACTATCACTGATACATCTGAAGACGTCACTAATCACACAAGCAAAATTGATGAGGCTGGCAGTTTCTTGAAAGGTTTAGTGACTAGTGCTTCTGATGTGATTGAAAAAGTCACTCAAGAAGTAGTCGATCATGCCAAAGACATTGTAGTAGAGAAGAAAACAAATATTGAAGATTTGCAGACGTCTGCGACTGATTCCGTTACGGATATACATACAGACATTATCGATAAAGTAGTTGAAGTCGATAAAAAAACTAGCCAAATGATGAATGAGGCTGATAAACATATGGAGATGTTAACAAAGTCAGAGAGAGAAGATACATTTTCCAAAGATTTGGTTTCTAAGGTAGACGCAAAAATAGAAGAAAGCAAAACAGCACTTGATCAAATATCAGATTCAGCAATCGACAAATTAACGAATGTGACAGCTGCAGCTGTCGAAACTGCAGCAGATGTATTAGATGATGTGAATGTAGACAAGTTCGTTACTGAAACCACCGAAAAACTAGATCATGAAGGAACCGTGTTCAAAGATATTTCTGACGCTGCTACAGAATCATTGGACGCTTTGAACGATGTTGCCAAATCTATCGCTGGAGGTATTAGTAGCTTATTCAAGAAACCAGAAGATGATACTGAGAAAAAATCAGAGCAGACCGCTGCATCTGTTTCATCGGATATCAAGAATACTAATGAAGCCATGGAACTATTGGGAAATGATTTAGAAGATAAAGTTTCCGAAATTACGAAAGAATTGATCGACAATGTTGAACATGGTCTGGAAAAAGTTATTGCTGATAATGAGGCAGCTGGTAAAGTGACAAAAGAAACAGTAGAACATCTGAATGATGAATCCAAGGATATTGGAGATGACCTGAACGTTGAATGTGATATACAGCGTCCAATTGTCGAAAAGGGATCTGATGGGATCAAAAAATGGGTTACTGATCAAGTTGAGTACGAAGAAGATGGAAAAGAGACTGGAAAACAAGATTGTAAGGAAGATTCTATACCACATAAACTTCATGAAGGAATAACGAGTGGAATGAAGGCGATTTCAGATTCTGTAGAGTCACTTTTCATGAAAAAAGATGAGCTAGTAGATGCTCATGATATCGAGGTGAAAGGGGAACTTCTTGATGTGAAGGTAGATTCAATCAAGTTACCAATAGCTGAAGATATTTCTGGTTCCAAATCGTCTGTTACAAATGGTTTGGATACAAAGCTGGCTGAAGTAGAAACTCCATGTGAGAAAGTGAAAATTTCAAGCCAAGAAAGCAAAGTGATTCACTCTGGTGATGATGAAAAATCGGATTCAAAACCAATATCGGATGCAATAAGAGGAGAAATAAAAGATACAGTAGAAGAATTGGTACAACAGCGTTCTTCCAACGACGTTCAATGTTCAATTGATGGAAAAATATCCAGCGAGTCAGAAGTTGATTCTAAGACTCCACGAGAATCACAAAGAGATGAAGAGCTGTCATCTGAAATTGAGAATGTAGACGGAAAAGTATTGAAGCAAGAAGGTGTACTAGAAGAGTCAGTTCAAGACTTGAAGGATGCTTCCAAAACACTAACTGATGTAAGCAAGTCAGTTGTATTCGAAACATACGAGACAATACCTGGTGGGAAGAAAATAGTTGATCAGAAAGTGCACGAAGATATTGATGGTATTGCAGAAGATTCAAGGAGACAGAGCAAAGTAGACACTGATGAAGTGCACAGAGACACTGCAGAAGAAAAAGAAGAAAAATTAGGGGACAGTGCTAAGGATCTTGGTGAGACATATGACACCGTAGCTCAACTATCAAAATCGATGTCATTCGAGAAATGCGAAAAACCAGATTCCAGAGAAATGATAGGACCACAGCTAGTAACTGAAAATGTTTTGCAGAATCTTGAGTCATCTCTGAGTTCTGTGAAATCATTGGGAAAAGCTCTAGAAGACAAAGTTGTTGGAAGAACCAAAGAAGTGAGTGACATGGTTCAACACGAAGTGCCAAACAAGATAGAGGAACAGTTGAAGGATAATGCCAAAGATATTGGCGGAACATACGAGAGTCTAGCTGAACTGTCAAGATCACTATCATTTGATAAATGTGAGAAAGTAGACGGAAAAGGAATGGCAGACAATAAAGTAGTGGCAGGATCAGAATCAATAACAGAAAAGTTTTCACATGGTGTTGACACTGCTTTAAATAACATGAAATCATTAGAGGAAGAGTTTAAAGATAATAGCTCAGAGAGTTCCAGTGGACTGAGCGACAAGGTTCAACATGAAGTGTCAGAAAAGCTCGACAAGAAACTGCAAGAAAGTGCTGAAGATATTGGTGAAACATATGAAAATGTAACTGAACTGTCACAATCTCTATCATTTGACAAATGTGAAAAAGTAGATACAGGCAATGAGAAATTCATAGAATCAGGGCCAATATCTGAATCAGCATCTCAAAATATTGAGACTACTCTGAGTACTCCAGGATCATCTGCGAAAGATTCAGAAGATATAGTTTCCAAACAAGTTCCACATGAAGTGTCAAAGGAAATAGAGAAATTGGCGGATAGTGCTGAAGATATTTGTGAGACATACGAAAATATAGCTCAACTGTCTGAATCACTATCATTTGATAAATGCGAGGAAACAGATGTGAGAGGAATAAAAGAGATAGAAAAAGTGTCAGAATCAGGGCCGATTTCTAAAATTGCCCCAGGAAGTGTTGGAACCATTTCGAGTACCGTGAAATCAATGGAAAAAGATGCAGAAGATGAGGTTTCAGGAATTGCTGAACATAAGGCTCAGCCTAAAGTGTCAAGAGAGATTGAGGAACAATTGAAAGATAGTGCTAAAGATATTGACGGAACTTTCGAAAACGTATCTGAGCTGTCTAAATCACTATCATCTGACAAATGCGAGAGAACCGTTTTGGGAGATAAGATAGAGAGAGAAAGAGAATCAGAGCCATTCTCCAAAATCATCTCAGACAATGTTCAGACTACTCTGACTGCCAAACAATCGATTGAAAAAGATGCAAAAGATGAAGATTCAGTTATTGTAGGCAAAGTTATTGATATGACTCAGCCTGAAGTATCAGAGGAAACTGAGCAAAAATTGAAAGATAGTGCTAAAGATATCGGAGAAACATTCGAAAACGTAACTCAACTGTCAAAATCGCTATCGTTTGAGAAATGTGAGAAAGTAGATGGGCAAGAAATTATAGACAAAGATCAAGTACTAAAATCAGAGGTATCTGAAATGGTTCCATCGAAGGTTGAAACTGGTTTGAGTACCATAAAATCATTAGGAACAGATATAGGAGTGAACGCCGAGGTTGGCCATGAAGTGTCAAACACGCTAGAAGATGGGTTGAAGGATAGTGCCAAAGATATTGGTGAAACATGCAACAACGTAGCTCAACTGTCAAAATCAATATCATTCGAAAAATTTGAAGAATCCGGTACAAAAGATAATACAGACGAAGGAAAAGTGGCAGAATCAGAACCAATAACTGAAATTGCTTTGCAAAAGGTTGATAGTACTCTAAATAGCAAGGAATCATCAGGTAAAAGCTCAGAAGAAATAGGAGACAAGTTTCCGAAAGAAAATAGCAAGAAGTTGGAGAGTGATGTTGAGAATTCAGCTCAGTTTTCGCTTGAAAAATGTGATAAACCAGACGCTGAAAAAATTGCAGACAAGGAAAGAGTACTAGAAAAATCAGCTAAGGATCTTGATGAAACTTTCAAAACAGTTGAAGATATCTCTAAGTCAGTCGTATTTGAAACGTGTCAAAAGGATAAAGCTGACGAAAGGAGTTCCGAGCAACAACATAACATCGATGTACACTCTATTCCAGCAGCAGAAGATATGATCAAATCCTATGAATCAGAAAAAGGTGAAAAAGAGACCATGGAGAAAGATAAGTCCACCAAAGAAGTAGAACATGGCAAAAATGTCCAAATGGAAGAAAAGGACGGACTGAAAGTCGCAGAAACTGAATGTAGGAAACTCTCCGTATCTGAAGTTGATGTATCATTGACAGATAACAAGAGCATTGAAAGTGCGAGTGAAGCAAAAAAATCCGGTTCGGATGAACAAAATACCGAAGATAATCTTCTCTACCATGAAAAACATATCCCTGGTGCTATCACACCACCTACAGTTCCTGTGAGCCCCATAGTCTTGGAAGAGGTCAAGTTTACCAGCAGGACCGATGCTTTGATAAAAGAAGTTGGCTTGAGGAGCTCAACTCCAGCTAGTGAAGACTCGGAAGTTGTCAGTTCCAATACAGACATAACCTCTGAACAATTATCTAGAATAGGTGAGTTATATTTATGTTGTACATATCAGATTTTTTTTGCACAATCTACTAAACAAAGTAGTAAACAGTAATCGTAGAACGAGTACGACACATCTTTGACTTCAAAATTTCTTGATTTATTCTCCAAGTTAGCGCTTTTTCCATTGCAATTATTCAAGAATTGGTGAGTTACATAGACCTTGTTTTTTGCAAAAGTGGTTCCAAAGTGGTGGTTCCAAAGTTATCATATAAAAAAGTAGGGCACATCTTTGACTTCAAAATTTCTGAATGTGTTCTTCAGGTTAGCTTTATTTTCATTGAGAATAATCTAGAATAAGTGAGTTACATAGACCCTGTACGTATCTGTTTTTTTTGCAAAATCTGCCAAACAAAGTGGTTCTAAAGTAATCGTAGGAAGAAGTACGACACATGTTTGACTTCAACATTTCTTGATTTGTATTTCAAGCTAGCGCTATTTTCATCGAGAATGAAGAGTCACGTGATTTCAACAAGAATAAGTCAATCTAATCATCAATACGAAAACTTGAGAGTGTATTTTTTTTTATTTCCAATATGTACCCATACTCACTTCTAATTTATATTTTGTGAACACTTTGAATGAACTTGTTGTCGAAGTATGGAAATATCGACGTAGTAGGCCGAAATAATTTTGGCAGCTTCTCATCATTACGAATAAATATCAACAACAAAAAATCACAGGAGTGATGAATTATGAAAACAAAAATTTAAGCTTCCAGAATCATCCATGACGTCCGCCTACTACGTTAATATTTCCATAGATCTTTCAAGCTCTCAAAACAGTAGCGGAGAATGGTACAGGGTGCCTTTTTATATTTTGGCCCCTACCTACAACTTCAACTATACGAGGTGAAGAAAAAACTTCAAATATAGAAGTTGTAGAATTTCTAGCACTCCTTTGAGCAAACAGAAACGAATCGCGAAATGGAAAATAAGAGTCCAAATCAGTTTTTTTCGAAGAAACACCCTGTATATCTTCAGCTATAGCGAAATATATCTTTCTTCGGTTCACGAAAATGAATAGTTATCAAGCTGTTTCTGAATATAATATTTTAATCTAAACGCAGAATATTATATAGGGTGTTGGATATCCAATGGCAAATTTTGATAATTTTTATTTTTTGATTCACCCTGTTTTACAATCTAAGGAGTTGATATTACACGTGGAGTAGTCATTCAATGGAGCAACACATCGAATAGTCAGATACGAAGTTTCATCGTTCTATAATCTACTGGATGATCTCTGTAGAGTCTAGGTCAACCAAAAATTAATGGAACGGAAGTTGAGAAATTTTTCATCATCATCCATCGAAAAATCAAAAAATCGAAAATATCAAAATTTGCCATCGAATAACTAACACCGTATAATGAGATTTTTTTTGCGAATTTTATTAGAGGTTCTTCTTCTATTGCTTTTGGGTGTATGATAAATTGACATTCACCATACAGGGCGTGGAAATGAATTCTGAATCGAGACTCTATCACGAATCTGCGATTAGAGGTCTATAAAAATCACAAGTTTCCATCGTTCAAGTTTGAACCCCCTGATTGGGTATGAAAGTGTTGAAAAGGAATATTCTCAGATAAATTATGAACATAAAAAAATGGATATATATTTATATAAAGCATTACATTGAGAATTCGCATTCTCTATATGTGATGAGAATATTTACTCTGTTTCAGTTAATTCAATAGAAAACAACTACTTTCCTGGCTATATGCCACGACGAACATTGAATTATATCTATTGAACACACACGATAAGAGTTTGAAAATAAAATATAAAAATTTCTGAAATTCCATTCTCCTTCAGACAAAAATATGTATATACACACATCATTCTGAACATTCAACAGAAAACAACTACTTTCCTGGCTATTTGCCACGTCGAACATTGAATTATATCTGATGAACATTCAAGTTCAGAGTTCCTGCCAGTATACTTCTCCTATACATTCCAATTTTCATTTCAATGCTGAATATATTGGTAAGTCATATTTCTATATCATTATTCATCATATTATTCATCCGATTTGAAGAAGAATGTCAATTCTCTATTTCGGAGGATTTTATTCTTTATTCTTCATGTTCCCCTTTTGAATGTTTATCAGATATAATTCAATGTTCGACGTGGCAAATAGGAATATTCAGAATGATGTGTGTACATACATATTTTTGTCTGAAGGAGAATGCAAATTCTCAATTTCAGAAATTTTTATATTTTATTTTCAAACTCTTTTCGTGTGTGTTCAATAGATATAATTCAATGTTCGTCGTGGCATATAGCCAGGAAAGTAGTTGTTTTCTATTGAATTAACTGAAACAGAGTAAATATTCTCATCACATAGAGAATGCGAATTCTCAATGTATTGCTTTATATAAATATATATCCATTTTTGTATGTTCATAATTTATCTGAGAATATTCCTTTTCAACTTATTTTGCTATGCCTGAATCGAATAGGCTAGTCACCGTTTCTAAAAGAACATTGCCTGATAGTCGTTTTCGAAATTTGGACCCCTTGAACAAACAAAAGTAGGCCTTGAAAATCTAAATTTTCCAAATTTGTTCACATTCTCGGAGAAAGCTTGTTGAGTATTATATCATGAAATTATTGTTTTTGTAAATCGGTCGAAGAGTTCCAAATTACAGGATGTTGTGGGTTGAAATCGCATACACTGTAAATAAAAAAACTGATTTGGCCTCTTTTTTGCCATTTTGCCATTTGCAAATGTTCGCTTGAGGAGTGCCAAAAGTTCAGATGTTCAGATGAAACTCTGCAACTTTCATATTTGAAGTTGTTCCACCTCGTAGAGTTGAAGATGTATGTAGGGGTCAAAATATAAGGAGACACCCTGTAATACGTTGATAGTGCCTCTTATAAACTGGATGAGTACTATGCAGCAGATTCTTGGAATGCTATTATCTTGAAAACTGTTCAGTTTTGGGATTAATAACAAGTTCAACTCGTTCTTGTTGAAATTAGGAGTCTCTTAACAACTAACTAACATTCGAAATTCTCATGTATCCTCACCAAAAACGTCGGAATTATTGCCAAAAATAAATTTCGAAGTATCAACTTTCTCACTTTTTTGTCTAATCGACAAAATTTGGCTCAAATCGTGATGATTTGAAGTCAACAACTCATAACAATTATATGTATATTCAATAATTTGAGGATCACCCTGTATATTGAATTCGGACCTGATTCGAATCATTGTGAATAACTATTTCAGTGCAATAACAACTGTGATATTCAATTCACGGGTATTTTCGTAAATCTGAATACGTTATAGGTATATGATATCAGGAAATATTTTCAATAATTTTATTATGGAATCAAAAAAACTTGATAGGTGCAAAATTATGTTTCGTTAAGTATACAGAATTGAAACCTATGATGAAAGAAAATCCGTATCTTCATAATAGTGATTCACACGAGACCAACGAGACGAGACTTTCATAAAGTCTCGTCTCGTCTCGCCGATGAAATATGGAGTCTTGTCTCGAGTCTCGTATCGCAGCCTCCAGTCTCGTCTTGTCTCGCGTCTCGTACGAGAGTGTCGCAGATGTATCGCAATTTCGTCATGCATAATCTTGTTCCAGTCTAAGGTATAATGTAGAGGTAGGAAGACAAAATTACAACAAAAATAACATTATTTATTGAAAAGTAAGTACCTAATAGGTACATACTTACATCATACAAACTTAGAATGGGAAATTCAGAAGCATCATGAATTTTCCACCATTGCATCAATATATCTGTGTTTTTATTACACCGAGGCACAGAATAATATTTTTGAAGCTCCTACATCCTACTCCCGTCAAAACAAATTTATTCTTTATCTTAGCCTATTTAACACAGAATGACTTATTTATAGATTTTCAGGTAGTCATTCAATTTGCTATCTTCTGTCGTTATTGCAGAATTGCCTTTATTTTCCGCCGCCATAAGAGATCATGGATTGTGTTTTTAAAGTATTTATGAATGAAATGTTTTGTCTATATGTGCTAAATAGTCTGAATTCTTTCTAAATATGTTGTATTATGAATGAAATTCTCAAGTCTTCAGTCGGCACGCAAAAATATTTACCTGCGAGACTCTCGCACGAGACACGAGAAGTCTTGCACGAGACTCGAGACGAGACCAATAAAAGTCTCGTCTTGTTCGAGTCTCGTCTCTTGTCTTGTCTCGAAAACGAGACGGGACCATGCGAGACTCTCGAAAACGAGACTCTCGCGGGCACCACTACTTCATAAAAGAAAACACTCTTGGACAGGTTGATTTTTATTTTTGAAAATCTTTTTTTTTGCGTATAATTTTTTATCCTATCAACCCACTGCCCTACAGATCAACCACATCAAACTGTTCTGATGATACAATTTTTTTATCGCTTGGAGCGCACGAAAGGGAATCCCAATAATGTTCAAAGAACATCGTGCGTTCCTTGGGAGGATTGGGACAGGAGGTAGGTAGGTAGTCCAGTTACATCTTATTGAAGAGTTTTATTTCATTTTTAAATTTTCAATCTATACATCGATTAGTTTTTCTTAATTTATTAAAGGTTTTGTCCGCATTATTGGAAATGGTGGGATCTGTTTCATTGTACATAAGCGTAGACGGACATTCAGTACAAACATCTGATTTTGAACATAGGTGAATTTACTCTTCAAGTAATACAATGGAACAATATCCACCATTACAAATATCTGGGACAAGAATTTTAATAAATGTTCAATCTTTGTACGGATCTCATACGGATATGGCTCAACAGAATGATTAAAAATTGATCGGTGTATATAGATTTGGAATACTTAGTTGTTCCGCAAGGCTCAGTGCTAGGACCACTTTCTTTTTGGTTTATTTGCTAACGACTTGCCTGAACACGTGATAGATTGCCACATAACCCTGTTCACTGATGGCATCAGAATTACATTAGCTTCATGGTCCTAAAATTGATTATTTACTAGCAAACGTCAACAGAATCATCGATACAGTCACTTCCTGATGTGAACGAAATCGACTCATTTTGAGTAATTCTGAGTCCATATCAATGAAATTTCATAATAGGAAGGATGATATCCTCGGCGAAATAACTCTCTTCGATGAAATATTCATGTCGCAAGATGTGAAGTTTATTTAGATCAAACGTTAAATTGGTATCTTCATATCAACAGTTTTTGCAAAAAACTGAGCGTTTCTTGCAATGAAGCAAACAGAAAACTTGTATTGCCGAACAGAGTCTATTTAGTATCCATTTTGCGATAGTATTCTCACATATTTCTATCAACATAATGGCATGGAGATGTGTGAGAGATTTCAACAAAGTTTTTGTGGGGCAGAAACGTATTTCAACACTGATTTTTGACATGGACTATCGGGAAAGCTGCAAAACTGTATTTGTAAGAAAAAAAACTGCTGTCATATCCATATATATTCTAAAATGTGTGGAATTTGTTTGGAGCAATTTGGAATCTTTGTAAACTAATGCTTCTTCACACACCTATCACACTCGACATGGTGGGGACTTACCACATCATACGACAATTAAATTCAAAAACTCACTTGCATATAAGAATAAAATAGAATAGAATAGAATTTATTCATCACTGAAATTTTACATACACCTACAGAATGATATATAAATGTAAAACTTATTGGACTAGTCAAAAACAGAAACAAAAACATTTAGAAGTATACAATTAGAAGCATAAAATACATATAATGGAAGTCAAATACTCTTAAACCTAGCATCTAAAAACTTCGGAATGAAATAACTATAGAAATTGATCATTCATCATAAATTTGCAATAGTGTTTAAAGATTTTATACAATACTTACATTAGAATAGTCAAATATTTATGAATTGAGGAACTCATCAATTCCATAGAACTGTTTACCACATAAGAAAGTATGCAAGTTCTTCTTGAAAATAGTTATTGTGCTACATGTATCCACAAAACTTCTTATTTTATTAAAACACTTAATGCCTACATATTTCGGCGAATTTTGGCAAACTCCAAGTCTAGAGTAGTGTTGGTGGATAGCTCCACTATTCCTCGTGGAATTTGGATACACATCGCGATTTTTTTGAAATTCTGCTTCATTTTCTTTTATATACATTATCAACTGGAAAATATATAGACAGGAAATTGTAAGGATTTGAAATTGTTTTAATAGTGGTTTACATGTTGAATGTGGGGGAGCTTTGTAAATAGTCCTCAATACTTTTTTTTGTGAGCGAAATGCTTGAACAAAATAACTGGAAGAACCCCAGAAAATCAATCCATATTTGCAGGGTGGATTGAACCAACCCAAAGTAGAGAATTCTCAAAGTGTCAAATGATAAGGTTTCTCTCAAGTTTCTTATTATGTAGCAAGTAGTGCTTAACTTAGAGCATAGTGTATCTATATGTGCTTCCCAGGTCAATTTTTGATCTAGAATTATACCTAAAAATTTCATGGTTTCTGTGCTATGGATAGAGCGGCCACATACATTCAGATATAAATTGTGATCAGGTGAGACATTTTTTGGCAGAAAGCGCATGTGGTATGTTTTTGTTACGTCCATCTTGAGTCCATTATCTAAACAGTATTTATTCAATTCTTTGGACGCATTATTGCTTGTTTCAACGCAAGATGTTCTAGATTTTCATTTGACATGAGTATGTTTGTATCGTCAGCATAGATAATCATTTGATTCGATGAGATGCAGGTATCATTGACATCATTGATGAATATTATAAAAAATAATGGACCCAAGATGGAGCCCTGGGGTACGCCCAAATGTATATCTCTAGTATCAGATTTAACACCATCAAAGAGTGTGGCCTGTTTTCTATTTGTCAAGTATGATGTTGCCCAGTTATGTGCTACTCCCCGGACTCCAATGCCTTCCAATTTCATCAGTAATAAGTCATAATCGATAGTGTCGAAAGCCTGACTCAAATCGTAAAACAAACTTACAACGTGATTTTCATCATTTAGTGCCTTATAAATATATTCTAGACAGTCCAATATTGCTGTTTTTGTCGACTTATTACTTCTGAAGCCATGCTGGGTATTAGACAGTACTTTGAATCGTTCAAGATAGTTAATGAGTCTTATTGAGTAGGATGCTTCAAATATCTTGGAAATTTGGCTTTGGACACAGATCGATCTGTAATTTTTTATGTCAGATTTTGAGCCTTTGTTTTTGAAAATAGGGATACATTTGGACTCCTTCAATTCCGGAAATATTCCAGATTTGAAAGACTCGTTAATTAGGTGAGAAAGTGACTCACCTGCTATTTTTAAGATATTCCCATTGATATCGTTCCAACCTGCAGCTGGTTTAGAGGTAGTTTTATTTAATATCCTTATAATTTCATCTGGTGTGGTAGGTGATAAGAAGAAACTCGTAGGGGATTGATCAATTTTCATTTCAATACAATAGATTGCCGACAGAGATCAAGAATCCTGGATGTGACAAAATATTTTATGATATAACTAAATGTTTGTTAATTGATGAGTGTCAGATCATAGTCAGCAAGAATTTTCAAATGATTCAGTGTGATTCAATATCAAAAAATGGTACGTTGTCTGTGTATTATTATGTTTGCAATCTTTTGCCATTCATTCATATTTTTATGTTTTCACTACGATTTTAACTGTAATATTACTCACTACATGTGCACTTTGCACCGAAGTGGCTAAAAAACATTATCATTATTATTTTCATTATCATCTGACGCGGTATTTTTGAACCCTTTGTAAAATAACAAACTCTAGAAGGAGTTGATATGTAGGGCAGGAGGTTATTGAGAGGTGGTTGAAAATTTGTATGTAAAAGAATAGCTTTCAAGAATTGAGAATCGACCTGCCCAAAGACTTTCTAAAATATATTTCTGTTATGGAAATTCTAATTTCACTTTCTTCAATCTGATTCTCCAGGAAGTCATATTATCCCGTTGGACAGAGACAGCGACGAAGACGAAGATCAACTAAGCATGACATCACAAATGGCCCTCTCCAGAGAATCCTCGCGTTGCGATGACGAATCCAAAAAAACTGAAGTCGACCCTATGAGCATGTCGTTCTACGGTACACTCCCAGAAAAACCCAGCTCCCAAAGAGATTTGACACCTAGTCACTTATACGAACTGACCAAAGCTAAATACTCCAGCGTCCCGATACCTGACTCCAGGGAAATTCCACAGCTCAGTTCGAGTGACGTCATGACTTCTAGCTTCGTCAGTGAGCTGCCTAGCTCCTCACCCAGTCACCGTGTTGGTGACGTCATGAGTTCTAGCTTCATCAGTGAACAGCCTAGCGCCCTACCCAGTCACGGTGTTGGTGATGTCATGAGCTCTAGCTTCATTAGTGAACTGCCTAGCTCCTCGCCTAGCCGTGGTGTTGGTGACGTCATGAGTTCAAGCTTCGTCAGTGAACTGCCTAGCTCCTCGCCTAGTCGTGGTGTTGGTGACGTCATGAGTTCCAGTTTCATTGGCGAGTTGCCATCTTCTAGTGAAGAGAAGAAAGACCCTATCGAGTCGTGGGGTAAACCTTTGGGCTTACCAACGCCTCCTACGCATTTGCATGAAGGGTCGTCTAGTCATGGAGACCGGTATGGAAGAGAGGCTAGAGATGGGTTTGAGGATGCTGGATTCGGATTGAATCGGGATAGCGAACAGAGTGATTTGATGACTGCCAGTTTCTATGGGGAGCTGCCTTCTGAAACGAAGGATCCGATTGAATCTTGGGGTGAGTATTTTTGTTCAGGTAATTAAGAAGTCAGATTAGGTGAATCAAATATCTCAATTAGTACAATAACGAACTATGAAGAGTATAAACGTTCGAGTTCGGACTCCGATTGCTCGGGTTGTAAAGGGTGTTGCAAAATCCGGTACACAAGGTTTCGGAAGTGGCTATTTCGGAAATACATAGTGTTCAAGTTCATGAATGGAAAATGTTGTTTATGAATAGGTATCTATACCTGTTGCATTTTTTTCAATCGATTCTGATATATAATGCTCCGTCATATTTTGACGTTACAGTAACCTCGATCATTTTATCCTTGCCACAGAAAGTTGTGATAACTTTTTCTCCCATATTTTTGAGCTACAGATGTGATCTTGATCCAACTGGAGCTACGACAGTGGATAGTTTGAAGATATTTGATTCAAAATAGGGGTTTTTATAGGCAATTTTCATCCATGTCGATGAAAAAAATTGCAAGAATGTTTGTTATTTTTTCCACGTCCAATAACTATTCATCTTTTCTATTGAAAGTTGAATTCTTCTAACATGGTCGTTTGACGCATAGTGGAATTTTTTGTGTTTTTGAAGAAAATTGAGATGATAATCACGTCAGTGGCAGATATTCAAATTGATAATGATCTCTGATCAGCATATGACAGTGATAGAGCTGACGTATGATTTTATTATCATTTTATTTAGAAGCGATGATAATCACATTGAAACATTTTTCAAATCTTCAGAAATCACTTCCAGCTGTTATGAATATCGCAGTCTTAACTAAATATATGTTTGGGTAAAAAATTAATGTTCAATTTATTTTCCCATCACTAGCTAAAGATATAGAACCTAACATTATTTACTTTTTTCCAAGGCGTGGAGTGTGTTTTTTCTACGAATGTACTTTTTGTCATTTCATGAACTACTAGTCAATGAATACATAGCCACCTCTGTTATAAATGAACCTAATTCACTGTTCTGATGCGAGATTCACAGGAATGGAACTCGAATCTACGACAAATCTACGACAAAAGAGAAAAAAATGGGGGTCGAGTAGGGATTGAACCCGGGAGCTTTAGCTTTTCAAGCACGCACCTTACTCCATTAGCTAATATGCTTCCTGAAGATTCATGTACTAAACAGATTCATAAACAGGACTCAACTACAGAAACCTGAATAAATACAACTTTGTTAGGATTTTCATTACAATTATATTCCGAAAAAAAAAAACATTTTCAAAAAATTCAACTCAATAGATTGATGGAATTCAATTACTCTGATATAAATGCATGGATATCAGATATTCCTGGGACACGAATAGGATAACCTAGGGATGTACCGGGCAGCGATTTTACTAAATATACTGTAGGCTAGCACAAACCACGCCCACCATAATATCTCATCTTCGAAGTACTTAGGCAAAACTCAGAGACCATTTATCCTTAACGAACTAACCTATCCCTGATTGCAATATTTTTGAGGAAGGAAAACCGAATGGAGTGTAGAAACACATTGATTGATAATATATTTCAAAAGTTGAGTTCTTCAACAAAATTGAATAAAATGAGACTGTTTATCCTAAACGCACTAACATATTTGACTTCAAATATTTTAAGAAAAAGGAAAACCAGAATGAAGTAAAAAAACATTGGTGAAAAAAAAATTGCAAACAAAAGTTCAAGTTCACAGCGATTCGAACCATGGACCTCCAGACTGAAAGTCGACAGCGCTAACCAGTAGACCATTTGTGTATATGAATTTAATGCGTACAAGAGATTGACAACAAGAGAGCTTCAGTCGAATTCGTGTCAAAATCATAAAAAGTGTATTCTTGCGTTGGAGCACAGTATATTTAGTGCGATGTGCTGACTCCGAGTATATCGGTAATGTTTGGAGATAAGACGTATCATGGTGGGCGTGGTTTGTGCTAGCGTGCAGTATATTTAGGAAAATCGCTACCGGGCAGGATGTCCACTGGACAACCACTGCGGGACATCCCCTAGATGCTCCAATCATGTCCTTGTACCGCGGGACAAAAATGGGACGTACCTATAGGACATCCCTGTGTTGTTAGGGATTCGAGAGTTGTGCTGACAGATAGGCTGTCACCATTTTATTTGACATTTTGGGAATTTTTGATTGGATACATATGCCTCTATATTTGGTGGTATCCTTCCGGTTCCCAGATTTGGTGTATAGGTGTAATATAACTGCTCTTATCTATCTATCATCATTGTTACAGGTAAACCTCTGGGCTTACCAAGCCCAGCGCCCCCTGGCGACAACAAGTCCACCCCGAAGAAAGAAAGAAAACTGCCGGCCAATGTCACAGCCAAGAACAAACTGAACGACGACAAAAAGAGGGCCGAATCACCCTCGAAGTTCAACAGAACCAAGCGGGTGAACCCGGTGTACGTGGATCTGACGTACGTGCCTCATCACGGCAACTCGTACTACGCATGCGTGGACTTTTTCAGGAGGGTGAGGGCGAGGTACTACGTGTTTTCGGGAGTGGAGCCTAGTAGAGAGGTGTACGACGCTTTGCTAGAGGCCAAGCAGACATGGGAGGACAAAGATCTAGGTGGGTGGAAGCTCCTCAACTATAATAATAAGAATTATTTATTCAAATAGGGATAGGGCATCCTAATATACAAACTACATAAAAATTTTCATAAATTTTTAGGTCTCAAATATACAGGGTGGGCCACCAGTAACGCCTCGGTCTCTAGAAGGCTAACCACTTATCTTCTTGGAATTCTTCCTCTCTAGGAAGTTGCATGTCAACATAGGCTACCATTTGAAATTATTTTGAAACATACAGGGTGTCCCCAAAAATCACAAAACACTGAGGTTGAACTTTTTTCAATCGAACACCCTATATATTATTTCATTTTGAGATTCTCCCTGATGAGCTGATTTCAACGACCCATCATACTTGGGGTCTAGCAGTTATCAACAACTATGAAAATATAATGGACATCTAACGAGGGATTTCTTGAATGCTTCAATAGATTCTATGAATTAAGTTCAAGAATGAGTTCATTTTGACCTAGTGTAAAATTAAGACGTGATACATACAGGTTATTAACACTTCTGGTAGAATAATTATTATGAATCTGATGCTGGAATATGATGAATTTATCGAAGTATATGGGAGCATCATTACCAGAAATCATTTTGAAAATAAGTATCATATTGAGATATAAAACAGGCGCTCCTATACAGTTAGCCAATTTAGGACTTCAAGCTTTGTTCTTGTTACTGAATCAGAATCAGAATCAAACGCGCACTGGCGGACTAAGGGGGGGGCGGTAGGGGCGGTCCGCCCCGGGCCCCACACCTATGGGGGCCCCGGTTTGACATAGAAAAAATAATTACAACGCAGCACTTGACTAGAATACGCTTCGCGTAACCAAGGCCTAGATAGAGTAGGCCCTAACGCGTTGTATTGGTATTGCATCGCATCGCGTTGTGGTGGTATTGCATCGCGCATCGCATTTCACCCGCCCGGCGTACCGTGACACACCCCGCCGCCAACGACAGTCGCGTGGTATATGCCTGCCAGAGCACAATAAGTGATTAAATAATAGTCTATGGTGACTTTGTCAAGGAAGAAGTATGCAAAGAAGTATACAGATTGCGAAGACATGTGAGCGCAACTGGTACTGCAATGGAGGAAGCTGCTTCTTGGAATGCCAAAAAAATGTTTGAATTTATTATTAAATGGGACTTTACCGAATCCCTTCCCAACATATGTTCGATACTTCAGTATTTCCTAACAATTAGTGTATCAGTGGCGTCATGCGAAAGAAGTTTTTCAAAACTTAAATTAATCAAAAACTATCTAAGATCAACCATGACTCAAGAACGACTGGCTAGTCTGGCTATTTTGTCCATCGAAAGAAAAGCAGCTTCGGTTTTGGATTTTGATGACGTAATTAATAAATTTAGTGTATTGAAAGCCAGAAAACATAATTCGAAATTAGTATAGTTAATTTCAATTACTTGTATGTGTCTTTGTTTGTTTTTCACTTGTGTGTGTGTGTGTGTTTGCTGTTTGCAACTTTTTAAAAATATTGAATAAAACATTTGAGTTTCCATCTGCATTGCGTTTATTTCAATAAATATTCAAATCTGAGGGCGCCAGGGGGGCCAAAATTAAAGATCGCCCCGGGCCTCAAAAAGTCTTAGTCCGCCAGTGCAAACGCGTACCCCTGTTTTGATACCATTTTCGTATGTGATACAAGTATATTGATTATTATCGAGATAACGATCTACTCATAGCTCGAGTGAGCTATCTGTAAGCAACTAGAATTGTTTCAAAAAAGAAGAGGAATTCTTGATAATCATCAATGCAACGAGTTGGATTTGTTAAGATTATTACACTCATTATTTCATGGAAACCAATAGTTGTATATCGTTTTTTCATAGGCAGTCGTTGCGTTATTGTTATTATTATTCCTGCATTTCGGAAATTGAAGATATTGTTGACAACTTGGATGTACGAAAGTCTTGTGGATTTGGTTATATAACTAATAATATTATGAAAATTGCGAAAGTATTGCCTGTATACAAAACTGGCAGGAGAGATGATATGAATAATTACAGACCCATTTCTCCCGGTTCTTTCAAAAGTTATAGAAAAAATTATGAATTATCGTCTTCTTGGTTTCCTAGAAAATAACAATTTGCTATACAGTGGTCAGTATGGATTCCGTAGATCGAAAGACACTGAAGTAGCCGTTATGGATGTTATTTCAGATAGCCAATTACGAATAGATGAAAATGATCAATGCGGTTTATTGTCATTAGATCTATGCAAAGCTTTTGATACTGTCAACCATAACATCTTATTAAATAAATTATTTGCAATTGGTGTCAGAGGAGGAATTCATGATTGGTTCCAAAATTATCTATCAGATAGAAAACAATATGTTGAAGTGAGTGGTACTTGTAGCTCCTTAATAACCATCTCATGCGGTGTACCGCAAGGGTCAGTTTTGGGACCAGTTTTATTTTTAATCTACATAACTTCAATATCAAACTTGGAATTTTAGAGAAAAACCTAAATTATTTGCAGATGACACGACATTGATTTATTTCTCGAAAGATTCAAATAATATTAACATGGACATGAAAAGTGATTTAGAGAATATATCCTCTTGGTTACAAGTTCATAAACTATCTCTCAATTATAACAAATCCTCATATATATGTACATAACAAAAAGAACACGGAACTTTTCAAATAGAACACTATCCTTCAACAATAAACTCATCAAATATACAGATGTTACAAAATTTGTAGGTCTTCATATTGATGAACGACTATTGTGAAATAAACATATATAGATCATTTGAGAAACAAACTTGATCCCATTACAGGCATTTTATTCAAAATACGAAATTTCATTTCTACTAGATACCTACTTGAAGAGTATTTATTTCTTAATCACTCAAAATTTCAATACCTAATATCTATATGGGGAAGTACCAATATTTCACGTCTGAGTCCACTAATGAAATCACTAAATGAAACATTGAAGTGTATTTTCAATTTAAATTTTCTTGAACCAACCATGATTTTATACAAACCTAAAGATTCATTAGATCTGACATCACTATATAAACTTGGAATATGTTGTTTTATTCGATTTGTCCTACATCAAATGAAAATTTCGAATTTGAATTTCAATGAAATCAATTCATTACATAATCATGAAACAAGACAATCAAATTAATAATAGCAAATACGTTCAAGTCAAATATCGACAAACAATCCATTTTTCACACAGGAATCGTTCTATACATCTCATTACCAAGTCAATTGAGGAATATACAGGAAGCAACTAGATTCAAAATTAACTTGAACAAATATCTGCTTCAGAGACTTTGACAAGGTTGATATTGCATGATTATTTGCATTTTTTTTCACTTGTTATATCTCATTATAATTCCATAATTGTATGTATTACATCATGAATATTGTTCATGTATCCCTATTATAAACAACTATGTTTCTTGGGGTGATAAAGACAATCAATCAATCAATAAACATCCATCGAATTTGGGGCGTGGCCACTGACAGCGACACACTCCAGTATCAACTGTCAAATGATCTATAGCTTACATTCAATATTCAAATTCAAATGGATGCCGGAAGATGATATCAACTAAAGAAAAGGAAGGGATAATGAATTCAGATAGAAAATCATCCATTCATTCATTACATCATTTTGTTAGTATTCCAAGGACTCTCTTTCTGAGCATTAAATTACTCAGAACCACGTAATATTGGGCCAGCGATCAGTCAATATATCTCTTATTGGAATAAACATCATCGTTATCTTGATTTTCAGAAGTCACCATCATCCCTACGTATGATACGGACATTCTGGGTTACTGGGTAGCCGAAAACGAAGAAACTTTGGCGAAGCTCAAGATAGATCTCTCCCCTTCTGCCTCGCGCTGTACCATCAATTTGCAAGACCACGAGACCTCATGCAGCGCCTACAGACTGGAATTTTGAACTCTCCGATCGTCATTTTAGTTTCTCAGCAATAAAACCACCAATCCACACATAGACCGGCAGGTACATATTTTCGGACGTGATTCAACTCAGTATGCTTTCTGGAGGATATCATTACGTATATATTCAGATGTTAAGAAATTAAACATGAAAGAATTCATGAGCAAGACACACTAAGTCATGCACCTCCACAAATTTATCATCTGAATTATCAGTGTCTGAATATGTTTCGGACTGATAATTCAGATAATGAATTTGTGGAGATGACTTAGTGTGTCTTGCTTATGTATTTATTCACCCTACTTTGGGATATCATGGATGAAAGAGTTCTTCCGGGTTCTTCAGGCATCAACCCATTCAACCTTGAAATTATCCCTTTTTTTTTATCATGTGAATTTTTTTCTTAGAAACAGTTGGAAGAAGGTCCCATGAGTAGAGAAAAATAATCATCGAAACATTTTTTAATCTCGAGTTTTGGAAAAACCAGTGGTACTTTCAAAAGGACGGTAGAAGAAAGGGCTATACTATCTATCAGAAAAATGGATGAGAATTCCAAAATATCTTCATATTATATGTCACAAAATGCTAAGCGAAATTCAAGGTCCTTCAGAAGTGACGTAGATGTATGAAAATTGGCAAAAAATAAGTTGAAGGGCTGGTGAGTCATTTTCTGTATAACATCTGTATATTGAAGAACAACCAGAGCTCTCAAACCTATATATTCAGATTCATCCAGGATTGTTTTCGACGCACCTTGGTAGGGATCAAAATTAACAATGTATCCAAGGCTTGGGGTACCTATCCAAAATGTATACCCCACCTTATAGGCTCGCCTCTAGAAAATTGTATACCGCTATGTCTCCCCTCATACGGTATAATAGCCTAAACAAAGCAGTGATATGTTTCAACTGGGTATGATCAGAACATTTTTCATCAAGGCTGTTGAAAACAGGACGCACTTTGGAGTACTCATCATTTTTATCGAGTGAATTATCATTGCAATGAAGATTACTCATAATGAATTAAAAACTATCTCTGGAAATAGCGGCTGATATGTTTATTCTGGATATCGTTGCAGTTTTGCCAATACCTCTATGTCACCTTGGAACATTTCTACAATTTCTTCTACCAAGTATTCATCACACAACAGCTTTTTTTATGTTCTGGTTCCAACGAAAAGGGATATCCTGTAATGTTCAGAGAACATCGTGAGGACCAAGAGAAATAAGGTAGGAATTGGTGTTCATCTTGAATTTCTGAAGGTTATATGCATCGGGGAACACCTCCCTCGACAATGTGTTCCAGAGCCTCGCTGTTCGTTGGATGAACGAGTCTTTGGAAAGAGATGTTCTGCAGGTCTCTAAAGCGATTGCTTTGTGCAGTTTGAACTGGTTGCCATTGTATCAACTTAGAATTTGAATCTTCGTTGAGAGTATAGTCAAACGTTTATGTCGCCTCTCAACAAAAGTGAACAGTGGTGGATCGTCTTCAGCTCCAGAATCTTTTCGTTGGCACTTTCGGGTGGAAAAATCATAATGCCTGTAGGAATGTCCGGCGTAGAGTCATTCTCCAATTCCTCCAAGACCTCTGCTATGGTTAGTGGCATTTACCAATACCGAAAAAAAACGCATAGTAGCATACCGTCCTTTCAAGAAGACTCGTTCAATTGAACGCGCCTGGATTGATCGAGAACTGTGAAACATAACATCAAATATAAAAAAAGTTTTATTATATGTGGTTTGTTGAAAATTATGATAACAACAACGAAGGAATGAACTTGTTTTAACATTGCCCACCATGAGTCACTCATTGCAAAATCACTAGAAACACAGTGTTTTCAACCGTCACCAACGCGTCCAAAGCTCAACAATATATAAACGATCGCGATTGACCTAGCTTAAAATGTCAACTGAATATAATGTGACACTGGCGACATCTTCAAACCGTCAGCTGAATCAGAGAAAACAAATTTCGTTTTGAGTTTATTCCTAAAGGACGGTAGGCGTTAATGGGTTTCAAAGGTAATTAGCATTATTTGTTGGCAGATTGAGCGATTTCACTCAAGCTGTCTGTGTTCCAAAATAGGAAATAGGTGATATACGTACTTGAAAATAATCACTGGTCAGGTGTATTTACACTCGAAAAATTAATTCTTGCTCGTTTTCAAACAGGCTGCCTTCAAGAAGTATATAGATTATACAGGGTGTCAATTTGAAAACTTCCCACCCTCAATATCTCCCCCCAAGTCGATAATATGGAAAAACGAAAAGACAGGTCGATTTTATTTTCGAGGGGGTCATGGTTCTAAAATATTTTCAGCCCCGCGGCGTTGCCGCTTCTAACGAAAAGAAGCAACAACTTTGTTATTTCAAATAGAACACCCTGTATTTTATTGCATTTTTAGATTCTCACTGAAAAGCTTATTTCATCAATGTATCACACTTGGGGTCTAGCAGGAATGATTACAGAGATATAGGGTGTTCAAAATCGAGATTTTACAACTTTAGGATTTTTTTGAGTCGAAACTATTCATTATTGGTCAAAACGGCTTTTATGTCCCTACCTCAACTTTTGATTTACTATCTACTGACATTTATTTGAAACAAATACAGGGTGATCAAAAGTCTGAATCTTGAACCACCCTGTATTTGTTTCAAATAAATGTCAGTAGATAGTAAATCAAAAGTTGAGATAGGGACATAAAAGCCGTTTTGACCAATAATGAATAGTTTCGACTCAAAAAAATCCTAAAGTTGTAAAATCTCGATTTTGAACACCCTATATCTCTGTAATCATTCCTGCTAGACCCCAAGTGTGATACATTGATGAAATCAGCTTTTCATTGAAAATGTAAAAATGTAATGAGATACAGGGTGTTCCATTTGAAATAACAAAGTTGTTGCTTCTTTTCGTTAGAAGCGGCAACGCCGCGGGGCTGAAAATATTTTAGAACCATGTCCCCCTCGAAAATAAAATCGACCTGTCTTTTCGTTTTTCCATATTATCGACTTGGAGGGAGATATTAAGGGTGGGAAGTTTTCAAATTGACACCCTGTATATTTTTTTAAACATTGGAAACCTGCTTCAATGCATAAAGAACCCGGGCGGAAACTTTCATGTATAATTTTTCAACATCAAAATATACATTACGATACCCTCCATAGGCATACTGGATGAAATGACGTCCAAAAATCTGGCACTGAGTCGGTCATTCAGCGCTGCAGCCGAGTAAAGCCAAAAATAAATCTGTATCTTCCTGCTGAAATACCTCTCATAGACTAGGGCTGAAGCCACTGAAAATGGTGAGAAAAGAGAAATAGAGTGGGATGAAACCTAGAAAATGAAGAAAATGTAACAAAAATGAAACGGGAAATAATCTACTGGCGATTTGAGGTAGGGAAGTAAAAGGGGCGAGTTTTCGAGAGTCGAAACGGTTCATCTTGATTACGTATCGAGAAAAGTTGTATTGCAAAGTTGTAGGTAATCGAACGATCTACATCAACTTTACTGTTCTTCTCCCTTTTTTTTACATGTTCTTAATATTAATAAGAAATATTCAAATAACCAAGTTTTCAGTTTCATGAGTACATTGGGAATTCGCATTCTATATGTGATAAAAATTTAAATTCTTCCTCGGTTTATTCAACAGAAAACAGTCAGGAAACTAGTTGTTTTCTGTTGAATAAACAGAGAAAGAATTTATATTTTTATCACATAGAGAATGCGAATTCCTAATATATTCCTTTATAGGTTTATCCATTTTCCCATTTTTTTATGTCCATGATTTATCTGAGAATATTTCCTTTCAATAACTTATATCCCTGTGTAGCCCATCTCGAGATATTTCATAGAGAAGTGGGGAAGGGGCTAGGAGGGCTATGCCTTATTACCTGTTATTATGTTTACAGTTCCTGATAAAATTTACCACAGTTATGTATTGAATATTCGGGTCGATTCTGTTAGCAAATAGCAATATGGTTGTAGAGAAAATATTGCTATCATAACAAGATTCGAACAAGTGGAATTCTAATCATCGATTTTGGGCAATATGATCTGTCAATTTCAATGACATCTGGTCAGCTTTCTTGCTATCTCGGCAACATCAATTTTGTGCTTGCTATCTTATAACAAGGCAGTGGATTCTTTGTTTTTGCTCTACAAATTCTTCCAACTGTATGAAGATTCAGAAAATAGTGGATTAAAAACATATGAGAGTTCAGTTGTGTCACTGACTACTCCAAAACCTTTCCTCAAAGTTTCAATTCGTGGAAGAATTATTGAAAAACTTAGAATGGTGATTACAAACATATAGGATAGGTTCACTACTGTGACCAACTACTTGAAAATTTTTTCTTGAAGTTCCAATTTGGAGAGGAAATATGAGACTACAATTTCGGCATATCAGAGAAATTTTAGTTGCCTGATGGATAATTCATCAAGCTATTTTGCTAGAATATTAAAAACAAAATCACGATTTGTTTCATCCGGTTTTTATTTGCTTTCTCATTTCGGGGACATGATTGATTAGTTGCACCAGTCGCACAACGACGACCAGATTCAGCAAATACATGAAATTTCAGTGCAGGACTGACTAATTCGAGAGGTTAGATAATCATGAACTCTTCTTCTCCATGAAATAATGGCAAAATCGATACCTAACACTTAAACAATGAGTTGAAAACAGTGTTGTCAGCTCAAAAATTCTCAATTTTTCAACAAAATTGCTATCACTTGAACTTATAACCAGTCTTGCACTTACTCTGCAAACAAAATACAGAACTTCATAGCAATATTGTTATATGTTATGATCATAACAATATTATTATCTTGGCAATGTTATAACAAGATCCGAACAGAATCGACCCGATTGAAAGATACACAAAGTCATCTCCACGACATTTGATGTGATTAACACATCAACAATTTTTACATGTATCATATAACGTGTATCAATTTTTGATGTCGTAATCACATCAAATGACGTGGAGATGTTGTGTATC